GCCATCACCGCGGCCGCATGGGGCATCTTGAACAATCGCACCCATCGCACGAGAGCGGCCGCGTCGCAGCGCTCGTTCGCGACCGCGTCCAGGATGTCCCAGTTCTGGATCCATCCCATAACAGTCATTCGCAGCATCTCTCGCCGAAATCGTCGTAACATTCGAGCTCGCTCGAGCCCCATTTAGATGCTCATGCTGTTTGTCATGTCTGGGCTCGCTGCTGGTCTTGAAGATGCTCTTCTTGTTGTTGCTCGTTGCTTGTCCGGCATGCGGCTTTGATTTCATTGCGCTGTCGAGCGTAGGTTCGTTGCTCTGTTGCCGTTCTCTTCAGGCTCGCTCTTCTCGCGATGATGTCATTGCTCTGCGCTGTCGGGTCTACCGAGCTGAACTCCACGTCGCATTCGCACCCGTTCGGATTGATCTTCGCGCACTTGATATGCGCTTGGACTTGCTCGGGGTGATCTCCGGGCGCTCGGAACCGCACTCGCACTCGCTCGGGTCGGTCTTCGGGCTCGGCTGGACTCGCTTGATGGGCGCCCCGATGATCTGGATGTCGATGATCATTGCTTTCCAGAACTCCGCCAACTTTGCACGGGCGGGAGCAATCTTATCTGTCTGGCTGGGACTCGCGTCTGGAGCCGCAGAGAAAAAATCGGGCCGTCAAATTCAAGCACGTTGAAACTCGGGCGCCCACTGCGCGTCTGGCCTGACTCGAGGCCCCCCAGCCCGAGCTTCTCGGACGTCACGGCGCTCTCTCTGGCCGCCTCTCCGCGTTTACGGATCGCCCCAAGCTGCGCCAGCGCGCGCTGAGATAAAAGCCCCGACACCAGGCGCGGCACGATTAAAATCCCCAGCGCAAAGCGCCCCCCCTGGACGGCGAGCGCGACGAGGGCGGCCGTCGCACCGGCAACTGGTTCGCCTGCTCCGTAACGAAACATCTCTCGTTCAGCCATCGCAACCGGCTGCAACCCCGGCTCAGCAAGTCGTTGCTGGGTGTCGTCGCACCACACTTGACCTACAATAATCTTCGCACAACAAGAATCTGGCCATAACGTTGCATCGCGCTGCTGCAAAAGCTCCTCCTTGGATGCCATCACCACGTTCATTGCTGGGTAGTTGCCATGCATGAAGAAACTCTGCTTGGCGACCTGCTCCTCTTTCGCGGTCCAGCTCACGGCGGTCGCGAAATATCCTTCGGCGGGCTGACCGCTCTCAGCTTGATGCTTTCGTCTCCCGGGATAACGAGGGCTTTCTTGGGCAGACCCGGGCACTCCGGATCTCCTTTCGAATGTCCAAGACGATTGCATACTGCACAATGGGTCCTGGCCTTCAGCTTCACGATTCGATCTGACCCTGTTCCAGCTCCAGAACCTGGGCCTTAGTCTCGCCCTCTGCCTGCACCACCCCTGATGGCCCCAGGCAGACGATCTCGATGATGGAATCCTCGGGCTTGCTTCGCATCTCGTTGTCGATCCCTAGCCGTGGCCAACATCTTCTCCAGCTTGAACACCTCGGCCTCCGCCTCGGCCTGCTCCTCGAGCAGCTCCCCTGGTACGTCCTCCGCGTCGACCTCGGTCTTGTACATATCATTGTTGGCCGGCTCGTCTGGATCCTCCTGCTCTGTCACGCGCGCGCCCCCTCGTCTGGGATATCTTGGCGCTTACTGCGGCGCTGGCAGCGGTCTGCTCGCGCTGTTGCGATCTAGCCACTCGGCGTCCTTGACGCTGAGCAGCGTCTGTTTATGCAGCGGTTTCAGCTTATATGTGTCCTGGTTCGCATTGAGAACTCCAGCCTCCCGATCTGGCGGAAGTCCCAACCACCACATAAATAGCCACGCCAGCGCTTGGTCAGGAAACTCAGTATTCAGCGTCTTCAATATTGACGTCTGCGTGTCAAATATATTGATCTAGCTTCCCATCGTTTCTCCAGCTTCGCGCCTCATTTTCGTGAAAAGCATCTTCAAATTGGGCCAGGAGCTCCATCATTTTCTCATCATCGAACTTCTCGGCGAGGAAACCCACTAGGGTCTGAACACCTTGCTCGTCCTGCAGAGTCGTCGGACCTAGGTCTTCAGCACGAACCCAGGCGTTTCCCTTGAGTTCTCCATACAACTCCGCAGCCTGCTTCTCCACTGGCACTCGCGTACGTATCTTGAACATTGCCACTCGCCGCCGGAAGTCCTTCATGGTCATCGTCTGCGGGTCGAAACTTGGAACCTTCACGGTGTAGCTTAGGCCTGTCTGGCCTCCAGCTTCATCATCATATGCATATGTTGGCGCTGTCTTCGGCGCAACAATGCTGGAGGACTGGGCGAATTACGTGCAATTCTGGAATACATGAGCGTCCAGCCTTGTATTATCCAGCTGCTGCTTGGGTCTCGATCTGGGGCGGTCGATCCACCTGGTAGCGGGCAATCCGCTGGCCACTCGATGCCACGAGCTCTGCAGTCCGCGGGTCGAACTTCTCCGCTGCAAATGTGAAGATGCTACTTCGAATCCGATGCGACGGATGGCGGTATTCTTTCCGCTGAACAGCCTGAAGCTCAAGGGCCCTGAGCCATAACGCTATACACATACAGTCCATATGAAACGAGGGGCAAGCAACTGCATGCAAGCATTCTCACTTTCACAGGGGGGAGGGAACACGAGGACAAGACGGAGGAGGGAGGGAGGGAATGCGAAGGGGGGAAAGGAGGGAAAGGGAGGCGGGGGGGGGCGGAGGGAGAAGGGAGGAGGGTAGGAAGGAGGAGGGGGGGGAAGGAGGGGGGAGGGGGGGAGCATGAGGAGGGGAGGCCGATTGGGACGGGAGGCGGCAGAGGGGGAGAGGGGGAGGGCACGACAGGGGGGGGGGGGCGGGAAGGGGGGGGGCACGAAGGGGATGGGATGGGATGAGGCTGGGCGACTGGGGAGAAGTAGGAAGGGAAACCGCCACTACCACTAGAGCCACCACAACCACCTCACACGCCTACCCCCACCATTCCCCTCTCCTACTTATATCCCTCGTCTACCCCCTCCTCGCCTCCTGCTCGTGCGCATGTCCTGTCCATGTCAGGTGTTCCCGCTCGTGCCGCCCATGCGGAATAGATTCGGATTCCTGAACATGTTTCTGGTCCTGCTCATCATGCGCCAGTTCCACGTGTAGCGAGTGGTCATCACCTTACTCGCCACCATCGTAACATTCGCCATACGACTGACCAACATCATAACCACAGTCGTCGGATGCATACCCATACTCATCACAACATAATCAGCAGCAGCAGCAGCAGCACATCCCCATCATCGTCATCAGCAGCAGCATTCTCTTCATCAACAGCAGCTGAGCCATCATGGACAGCAGTGTTTAGTGATAACCCGCGTCGTACACAGCATCGTCTTTTGCATCGTCACAACTGCCCGCATACCAGTCGACATCTATATCACCAGTGTCGTCGTCGTCATCGGCATAACCCGCATCAACAGCAGCACTGTCAACAACTCCATCCCGATACCACCAGAAGCAGATGCATCGCGTTCACAACCATCAGCACCGTCAACCTCATCATCCTCATCATCATCACCATCACCGCCACCACCACCACCCTCATCACCATCATCACCACCACCAGAATCACACCACCATCATCATCACCATCACCATCACCATCACCAGCACCATCATCATCGTCATAATCATCACCATAATCGTATTCGTCATCCTCCTCATCCTCCTCTTCGTCCCCCCCCCCATCAACGCCCCACACCTTCACGTTATGAAACACACACACACACGTTTCGATCGTCGCGGGTGGGCGACTCGCCACACCGTCAGACGCGCCGCGCGGGGGACCGCGCGCGCGCACCCAGTGGCCAAAAGAAAAGCAAGGAGAAGTCGAGACGGCCGACCCCTCACGGGGTAGTGTTAGGTCGGGCATGTCCCCCCCCCACGGGCGAATCTTGCGCGAGCGCGAGCAATCCCCCCCAAAAAAGCCAGAAACTCCCCAAATTGCTGCCAACATCGTCCCCAGACTAATTTTTGTTACTGTTTTGGAATACTCCTCCTTTCGGAGTCCCAAAACGGTGCGGTGACAGACCGTGCGGTGACCTCGAAATCCCCCAAGACCTCACCGCACGGTCCGTCACCGCACGGTCTTGGGACCCCGGAGGCCCCTGTCACCCGAGACACCCTCGAAGAACGACCCGAGTCCCAGTACCGTGCGGTGACCCCAGATCCCCACTGACTCACCGCACGGTGCGGTCACCACCCCGTTTGGGGGCCCCCGACTCCTGTGGAGGCACATGCCCGGCTGGAGGGCAGTGGCCGGGCGCGGCGCTAGGGCGCCGGGGCGGCGAGGCAGCGGGCAGGCGGGCAGGCGAGCGGCGGGCGAGCGGGCGGCGGAGGGGCGGCGGCCGCAGGGCGAGGCGCCGGGGGCGGGGCTGAGCAGCGGGGCGGCGAGCGAGGGCGGGGCAGCAGGAGAGGCGCCGCGCCGCGCCACACACGCACGAACACGCACGAACACACAGAGAGAGAGAGAGAGAACACGCACACGCACACACACACACACACAGACAGAACACAGAGCACAAAACAACACAACACGCACGCATGCACGCACAGGCACAGGCACACGCGCACGCACGCCTCCCCTCGCCGACCCTCCCCCGCGTCCCGTTCCCGTCCCCCGTCCCTCGTCTCTCCATCGCCCCGCTCTCCGCAACCCTGTCCCGCTTTCTCCTCCGTCATTCCTGCCCCCTCCTGCCTCCATGTCATCCCCTCCATGCTCCCACCCCACCCGAATTCACCACCACCACCACCACCCACTCCCCCCCCACCCCTACCTCTGTTAAACCTGCTCACCATCAGAATCATGATCAACACAATCATCCTCTCCATCCTCGTCCTCCTGCTCACCCCCTCGCCCCATCAGTACTCGCTTCCCTCCTGTCTCCCCCACCCCTTCCTCCACTCAGGGGTGGTGGAGAGAGAGAGGGGCGACCAGACTGGCAGGAGGAAAGAGTCTCGGCCTCGGTCACGTGCGTCGAGACGGCAACGCGATCCCAGAACTGCTTTCGCACGTAGCCCCTGGCGCGTACTCTTCGTATGCCCCTGTTGCCGATCCTGCCCTGCATCATCCCCGCTTCTTCGACCGCATCTCTCCTCTTCTGTCCTCCTCCTCCGTTCCTTTCCTTCTCAATGGCTACTCCCTGTCACACCCCGAGGCCAGTCGAAGGGCGGGAAGACGTTTCGCCAGAGACTTCCTTACCATTTACGAGCCTGAAGATTCAAAACTAGCTACAGCTTCACAGATGGAGGACGGGTCGCTTCCAAAATGTGGCACTCGCCTTCGCGCCGCGCACGTTCGTCTTGAACATGTGCATGCAAGAGTTTCACGCGTTGAGGGCGAGTGGCTTTCAAAATAGGGCTTTCGCCTTAGCGCCGCGCGCACTCGTTTTAGCAATCTGCTGGAGCTTCACGGATTAAGGGCAATTCCTTTTCAAAGTGTGACTCTCGCCGTAGCGCCGCATACATTCGTTTCCAAAAAAAACTGTGAGTGTCTCACTGATTCTCATGGTTATTGAATCAGAAACAATGCAGGGCGCAACAGTTACGTTGATTCGCGGTGTTGAAATCCCAGGAACAGCGTTCTGGCACGATTCAAGATCGTCAAGACGACTCGCAGCGTTGAAATCCTGAGATTGGTGTTCTGGCACGCTTCATGATTTTCACACGGCTCTCCCACAACGGGGCACTTCCATCAGTGAAAATAAACCCTTGTAGGGGCCTATGCAGAGGGGGGAGCTTAGATGGAGGGTGTATTCCAACCATCGCTGATGAGTCTTGGGTGTACACTGGTCCTCCTCCTCCTCCTCCTCCTCCTCCTCCTCCTCCTCCTCCTCCTCCTCCTCCTCCTCCTCCCCCCTCCTCCTCCTCGTCATCCTCCTCCTCCTCCTCCTCCTCCCTCCTCCTCCTCCTCCTCCTCCTCCTCCCTCCCCCTCCTCCTCCCCCTCCTCCTCCTCCTCCCCCATTATCTTCTCCCTCCTCCTTCTCCAATTCCTCCACATCATTCTCAATGCAACTTCCCCTCTTCCTCCTCCTCCACCTCCTCTTCCTCCTCTTCCCTCCTCCTCCCTCCTCTCCTCCTCCTCCTCCTCCTCCTCCTCCTCCCTCCTCCTCCCTCCTCCTCCTCCTCCTCCCCCCTCCTCCTTCCTCTCCTCCTCCTCCTCCTCCTCCTCCTCCTCCTCCCTCCTCCTCCTCTCCTCCCCTCCCCCTCCTCCTCCTCGTCATCCTCCTCCCTCCTCTCCCTCCTCCTCCTCCTCCTCCTCCTCCTCCTATCCTCCTTATCATCATCATCATCATCATCATCATCATCATCATCATCATCATCATCATCATCATCATCATCATCATCATCATCATCATCATCATCATCATCATCATCATCATCATTTTCATCATCATCATCATCATCATCCTCCTCCTCCTCCTCCTCCTCCTCCTCCTCATCATCATCATCATCATCATCATCGTCATCAGCAGCAGCAGCATCGTCATCATCATCGTCAGTAGCATCAGCAGCAGCATCATCAGCAGCAGCATCAGCGTCATCATCAGAATCAGCATCATCGTCGTCATCATCATCATCATCATCATCAGCAGCAGCAGCATCACCCTCATCAGCATCGTCATCGTAATCAGCATCATCAGCATCATCAGCATTCTCAGCATCAGCATCATCATCATCATCATCATCATCATCATCATCATCATCATCGTCATCATCATGATCATCGTCATCATCATCACCATCAGCATCATCGTCATCCTCATCATCCTCACCATCATCATCAGCATCATCAGTATCATCATCACCACCACCATCATCATTATGATCATCAGCATGATCATCATCAGCAGCAGCATCATCGTCATCGTCATCGTCATCGTCATCGTCAGCAGCATCAGCAGCAACATCAGCGTCACAATCGTCATCGACATCGTCATCCTCATCCTCATCCTCATCATCATCAGCAGCATCATCATCACCATCATTATCATCATCAGCAGCACTAGCGTCATCCTCATCGTCATCACCATCATTATCATCCTCATCAGCATCATCATCATGGTCCACCTCCTTCAAAAGCACTATCCGTCCACCTCTTCCTCCACCTCCCCCTCCTCCTCGGACTTCTCGTCCTCCTGCCCTTCCCCCCCTTCCTCCTACACCACCTTCCCCGGGCCTCACGCGCGGGTCGCTCGCAATGAGGCGAGACAGGTACCACTCGGCGTGCTCCGACACCTGCTCTTTGGTCTTCAGCGGGCCCCCGATGTTCCTGCTGCACACCTGTCGATGATCGTCAGGACGTGCGTTGGCGCCAACATGTGCTTGCCCACCGAGGCCCTTCAATACGACGCAGGTGGCGCACTGAAGGCTGACACAAGCTGCACGCTATCAGTGTAGCTCGACGGGATAACCCACGCATAGGGCTAACACCCACACATACACACACACACACACACACACATCCTGAGGATCATCGAACCTAGAGGGGAGGGGAGCAGAAGGAGTTTGGGAGTTAATCTCGAACATGATCTGGATCGGCGAAAACAAGCCTTATGATGCCAACCACGAGCAAAGCTGCAAGCCCATCATAGCTTATGAAATTTTCCTTGCGCTGGACAGGTCCGAACAGGTCGACAGAATCACTGGGAACCGGACAGGGCACAGCGCCTCGCAGGGGAGGGGGGGAGAAGGAGGGGAGGAGGGAAGAGGCTCTGACGAGCGGGGAAAGACCCTGGCGGACCGCTCCCCCTCCCTCTTCACGCTCGCTCCGCACTGACTCCTTACCTCAACGTGAAACAGACCCGTGACCTACGCTCCAGTGCTGACCTCTGAATCTCACTGGCCCTCTGTACGTAGGTGGTTTAACGAATTCGAACTGCTGACCCCTTTCCTTCTCTGTGGGGAGGAACTTACCTCTGCTCCGCCTTCCGCACTCAGGCTTTGCCTAAGGCGATCGATCTTCTTCTGGGATGACCAGTGGGTGCCACGGAGGCTGCGCTGGCTGGCAGTGCCTGGGTTCCCCCGGCTCCTTGGTCTTGCTCCCCAACGAAGCTTTACAGGGCTCTTACTGGCTTGTGAACAACCCAACCGGTGGATGCCAAGCCTGCGCCCGCTGGCCTTGTCTGGGTTCCACAGGTTCCCTGGTCTTGGTTACGTACTGCTTTTGACGGCCCGTCTTGCCCAGGTTCCCCAGCTGCTTTGGTCTTGCTTCCGTCCTGTTTTTGAAAAGCCCGCCTTGCTCGGGTCCCCCGGGTTCCTTGGCCCAGTTAAGTTTCAGTTTTTGCAGAGGCGTTCCCCAGGCGGTCAAACCATGCCAAGCAATGCCAAGAAATGCAAAGATGTGCCGAACAATACAAAGCAATACAAAGCAACACCAAGCAATACAAAGCAAAACAAACCAATGCCAAGCAGGCCAAAATAAAGCAAAGCAAAACCGTGCATTTCTTGCTGACCGACTCACTCGGGCAGCTTTTTCCCCAAATCACTGTCGCGGCGGAATCGCTAATCACGGCCTCGCCCGCACTCGACTGGCCGCCGACCCCACAGCATGCTGGCAACCACCACCACCGCCCACCACTCCTGTCAGCACAAGGCATGGTCGGGCGCCCCACAAGTGAAGGGGCCCTGGGACACACAAATAAATACACACAAATAAAAGGATTACCCATATTTTCCTATGGTTTCTGGGTTTCTGCTTTCCCCCCCACTTCCCATATTTTCCCATGTCTTCCTGGGGATCGACGATTAATTGTGTCTGTGCGTTTTCTCCCCTCCTGGACGATCATCGCACACTGCTCTGCGGCAGTAACCACGGGGAGGTGCTGGCAGCTTGCCCCCACGTGCACAGGCCCCGCCCCCGTCAGAAACTGATGCAGAGCACGCGCTGCGGCGCAATCTGCACGGCGGCCCCTGCCCGATGAGAAAGCCCCGAGCAAGCGTCGATGGGCGTTGCTTCAGCGTCGGCTAGCGTCGACCAGCGTCGGCTAGCGTCGGTTCGCAAGAGGCACGCGGGCAACGCAAGGAAACTGCATCGTATGCGCCGACATTGGCGCGTAAGCTGCCCGCGTAAGGTCGCCCGTTAGCGCTCTCGTCCCCAATGCAGCGTGCCGCGCTGGCGGCCCGCGTAAGCCGCCGCGCAAGGTCAAGATGGCTCCACGACGGCCCCAGATAGCCCAGGAGAACCTCCAAGGTCGCAGATAGCTCAAGATGGCTCAGGGCGTCCTCCAATACGCCTCCAAGAGGCCCCAAGACCGCCCCAAGAAGCTCCAAGCGGCCACGGAGCCTCCCATGGGCGCCACCGAAGGTTCAACATCATTCCAAAGTTTGTGTCTTCTAGCTAGTTTGCTTCCGATGGAATTCTGATCCCTCACTATGGTTTTAAGATGGTTCCAAGATCGCCCCAGAGCGCCCCAAGAGGGCTCCAAGAGGCGTTTGTTCAGCATCTGCTGAGGAAACCATGATTTGTTACCCTCCTGATTGATCGATGGCATCCAAGATGGCCCCAGGAGGGTACCCTCCGATAACCGACCTCGATGTTGCACCTCGGTCCGACCGTAGGGCGGCTCTCTGGCCGAGACCGCGAGATGCGCGAAGCGCGGCTGCATCTGTCCCCCTTGGGGTGGCCCTGGTGCCTCGGGGGCGCCCAGGGAGGGGGGGGCTTCCAAAAAAAAGGGGGGGGGCGCAAAGCATGGCCCGAGGCACGCACGCGGCCCAGGGGGGGGGGGGGGCTGGCAGCGCGCGCAGAGGGGGGCAGAAAGGAGGGGGGAAGACTTCTCGGAGGGAGGCCGCGTCTTAGAAGGCGTCGGCCTTAGATCCACAGACGAGGCCCGCGACTTCTGAGAAGCAGGGGTGCTTCTAAGGAGCCTCCCCCCCTCCCCCTTACCCCCCTCTGCGCGTGGCCGAGGGGGCCAGGGGACGCACTGAATCGACAAGCGGGGCCATAAAATCTGGGAAGACATCATGTCCCCCGCCATGAGATCCACACACACACACACACTTGTTTTGCGTCGGCGGCTGGGCAGAGGTCGACTGCTCCAGCGAACGGCAACAGGGGACACGCTGTATGCAAATTAAGTCCGCAATGCACGGAAGGAGGAGGAGGAGGAAGAGGAGGAGGAGGAGCCCCGGCGCGGCAGGGGGGAGAGAAAGCCGGGCCACTCAGAGCTGCCGACTGCGGCGGAGGGAGCGCCGAGGTGGGAGACCAGCGCCGGCACACACACACACACACACACCTTAGCCTTAGGTCGGGCCTGTCCCCCTACAGGCGGATGCTAAACGGAAAATGAAAAATGCTCCGAAAAATTAGCCCAAAATTGACAAAATTAGTCGACAAGTCGTCCGCTCACTATTTCCTGACTGTTCTTGAGTGTCCCCCCTGCAGGGGGACAGGCCCGACTGAACCCTAGCCATCACCCCCCTCTTGTGAAGCGGCCCTTGGACACACAAATAAATACACACGCAAATAACAGGGTTCCCCAGATCTTCGCATATTTTCTGGGTTGTTGTCTTTCCCCCCACTTCCCAAATTTTCCCATATCTTCCTTGGGGATCGACGATTAATTATGTCTGTGTTTTTTCTCCTCCTGATCTTGGCCGCCCCGAGAGGCGGCGGCGGCGAAGGGGGCGGCCAGCGGGCCAGCCGCGGGGCCGAGAGCGGGGGCGCCTGGGCGTGCTGGCTGGCCCTGTCCTCCTGGGCGACGAGGCGGGGAGGCCGGGCGGGCGCCGGAAGGCCCCCGGCGGGCGCCAGGGGAGACGGTCGCGTCCTCCTCCTCCTCCTCCTCCTCCTCCTCCTCCTCCTCCTCCTCCTCCTCCTCCTCCTCCTCCTCCTCCTCCTCCTCCTCCTCCTCCTCCTCCCCCTCCTCCCCAATAGCCAGGGGGAGGGGGGGTCAAGCGCAGAGCCTGGGCAAGGACGCCAGGTGATCCGGAGGAGGCCCGGAGAGGAGCAGAGGGGGAGAGGGGCGAGGGGGAGGAGGAGGGGAGACAAAAAGAGAGGGTCGAGGGCGGCCAGGAGGGGGGCGTCCAAGAGGGGGGGGCGCAAGTCGTGGTCGGCGGCATGCGCGCGGCCCAGGGGGGGGCTGGGGACGTGTTGGAATCAGGAAAGGCGCCATGGAGTCTGGGGAGACCTCGTGGCCCACGCCATGATATCCACCCCCCCTCGTCATCGCCCCCCTCTTGGCCGCCCCCGACCAGAGATCCGAGGCTCCGAAAGGGGCTCCAGCTGGAAGGGGGTGGTGCAATAGAGTTGGGGCAAGCGTATTGCAAATGTACATTGCGCCGGAGAACTGTGTTGCATCGTATTGCAAGTAAGGTATTGCACGCGAGAATCCAGCAGTACATTTGCGCCCAAAGAATGTATTTGCACGCCCCAAATGTACTGCAACCCCACGAATCGATTGCGCCAAATCTATTGCACCACCCCCTTGTCGCTGGACCCCCTTTTGGGTCAACCCGAGAAACGGGAAACCCAGAGGTCCGAGACCCCGAAAAAAATCGGGGCGGCTGGTTTTTTGCCCGTTTTCAACCTCTGGGGGCCCTCCACGGGCCCTGGGGCCGTCAGGACACGGCTCAGGACAGGAAAGCTGCCCCGGGGAAGTGGTCCAGACCCCCCCGAGATCCGACGTTGCCAAAAAAGATGCAACATCGTGAAACTTCGCGCCCGGATCCCCGGACCCCATCTTTCTGCGTCAGTCTTCGACGCGGATCCATATGCGCGAGCCCCGGGGCCCGAAAGCAGGCGAAGACGCCCGGCTCGCAAAAGTTGAGTCGCCAGGATCTCGGGGCCCGAGGGCCTCGCATCCCAGAAGCTGGAGCGGCCGCGTGCCCGGGAGCGTCACGCGCGGCGCGGAGACGTCCCGCCGCGTGCACGTGCGCACTGCTGGGCCCACGGGCCAGCGCGCCAGGTATACGGACCGGTCGTCCTCCCCAGGAAGGGAGGGTTTCGAGGGAGGGGGAGGAGGAGGAGGAGGAGGAGGAGGAGGAGGAGGAGGAGGAGGAGGAGGAGGAGGAGGAACAGGAGGAGCAGGAGGAGCAGGAGGAGGAGGAGGGGGAGGGGAGGAGGAGGAGGAGGAGGCGTCTGGATGGACCTGGGTCAGAAGGTCACTGACCGGTGGCAGGTCGGGGTATCGCTTCCTCGGCCGCCCCAGGGCGGGCGCCCCCGAGGGGGGCGGATGTCGAGTGAGGAGGAGGAGGGAGGAGGAGGAGGAGGAGGAGGAGGAGGAGGAGGAGGAGGAGGGCGCTACGAATGCGCCTCGGCGGGGCCGCCCACGGCCAGAAAACAGATGACGCCTCCAAAAACTCCCTCGTCAGAGCCTGCATCCGCGGACTCTGCCTCCGACGGCGGAGAGATCGAAATCCCCTCCTCGCGCCAGCGCGCCGCGAGCGCAGCAGCTCAGCCTTCGCCCTCCCGGCGACGCCCCGCAAGGGGGCTTTCGAGTGAGGAGGGGGAAGCGGGAACGCAGTGAAGTTTGGAGTCGAGGGGGAGGGGTGGGAAGGTGGGAGGAGGGCGAACGTTACGGGGGGGACGGGCTCGGGGGGGGGATGATCACCGACCTGGAATCGGCGATGCACCGCCGATAGACTGGCGACGGGCCCCCGATAGCGAACCCGCACGGGGTCATGCGGACATGCTGCAATGCCCGAAGGAAGCCCTAAAATTGCAACTTTTGGTTCGGGCTGACTCTCGACACCATCCCAGGGTCTGATTGCTCCGCCGACTGATTCGTATGAGCTCAGGGAATGTCCAGAGGGGGCCGCTCTGGTAGTCACACATTGGAGAAAGACTGCCCGTCTCATCCAGCGCAGTCAGGCTGCATCCTAACCCCCACCCCACAAGGAGGGAAGAGCGGGGAGGTGGATAAGCCAGGTACGCTCGCGCCTCACTTGACAGCCTATCCCTCCCTCCCATCCCTTCGGAGGAGGAACCCACGGCAACCCAAGACTCATCAACGATCTTGGAAGAAATCCTCCCTCCAAGTTCCCTCTTCCCAGGCCCCTACAAGTATTCATGTTCACTGAACGAGGTGCCCCGATGTTTGCAAAAATCTTGAACTGTGCCTGAACACCTTCCATGGGACTTCCACACCGCGAATCACCGTTACTGTTGCGTCTTGACGATGGAGAATGGTGGCAGAACACCATTCCTGGGACTTCAACACCGCGATTCAACATAAATACTGCGCCCTGACAATCCGACATCGAGCCAAAACACCATTTCTGGGACGTTAACAATGATAATGTTTGAAGCGAATGGAAGATCTGAAAACGAATGTGCGCCGCGCTGAGGCGAGAGCCACATTTTGAAGAAGAACTGCTCTCCGTCCGTGAAACCCTGGCACGGTGCTAAGGCGAGACCCACATTTTGAAAAAGAACCGCCTTCCACTGTGAAACTCGTGTTCTTTTAAACCGCGGCGCTCCGGCGATAACCATATGTGGAAGGCCACCCTCCCTCCATCCGCGAAACTCTTGAAAACTTTAGGGGAAACAAAACATGCGTGACGCTAGTGCGAGAGACACGGTTTGAAAGCCACCCGCCCTTCAGCCGTGCAACTCCGGCAAGCTTTGAAAAACGAATGCGCGCGGCGCGACAGCGAGAGCCACATTCTGAAAAAGGCCCACCCTGCACCATCCTTGAAACACTCACAAGTCTCAGCTTGAGGATTAGCAGTAATGAGGAAGCCTCAGGCGAAACGTCCGGCCCGCCCCACCGACACGCCTCGGGGTGCGACAAAGACGAGTTCCTCATACAGAAAGGAATGGAGGTGGAGGAGGAGGAGGAGGAGGAGGAGGAGGACGAAAAGGAGGACGAGGAAGAGGACGAGGAAGATGAAGACGAGAAGGAGCAGCAGCAAGAGAAGGAGGAGGAGGGGAGGAGAGGAGCAGCAGCAAGAGGAGGAGGAGGCGGCGGCGGCGGCGGGATTCAAGAGTCCGAAGCAGCGGTCAAATTTGGGAGGGAAGGGGCAGAGCTTCACTCAAATCTGCAGCTCGGCACTTCACACACGAAGGGCACTAGCGGCAGCCCCGTGCATGCACGGGGGGGGGCCAATGCACCTCCCGTATTGAAGCGGCTCCTTCCGTAAACCAGAAAGGCAAGGCAGAAAGGAGGAGGAGGAGGAGAAGGAGTGGAAAGGGCAGGAGGAGGAGGAGAAGGTGAAAGAGGGAGGAGAGAGGAGGAGAGGGAGAAGGACAGGAAGTGGGAGGAGAAGGAGCCAGAGGAGGAGAAGGAACAGGCAGGAGGAGGGGGAGGCGCAGGAGGGCTTCCCTCTCGAACTCCACAGCATGAAGAGTAAGCACATCAGCACGACAACGGCAGGGGGGTGCCGTACGTGCCAGGGAATGCGTTCATAATGAATTGCCGCCCCCGAGCTGCGATGCCCGGGTGCGAATGGTTCCTCGCGGTAGCCACATACAAAGATCTGTTCGCCAGTCGCCACCGAGAAGCCCCATATAGGGAAAATGACTCTGACAAAGACGATCCACACAACAGCATCGCCTAAGCGAAATACGATTGAACGACTTCCAAGCGAAACACAACAATCCAGATCGGTCATGTCGGGATCCTCGTGGAAGCACACCTTCTCTGAGTGTCGTTGAACCGATCCCCATCCCCAGCGGCGTGTCCTGGGCCCCACTGGCCGATTTATCCCCCTAGATAAGGGATATAGGTCGTTTCCTTCGGGTTTCGAGGGGTGTATCCCCAACTGGGGTGGTAATTCGGTGGGGGTCTCGAAGGGGATGGGGATGGGGATGGGGATCGGCGAAACGATATTGATTCTCGGGGTCGAACTCGGACCCTCTCCACTCGACAGACCTGGCACACGAGCCTGGATGCAGGGATCGACCTTCCCCGGGACCAGGAGGCAGACCCACGGGCGACGAGCTCGACCTCGAAGGCGAAGGGGGGTGCGTACCCGCGCGGCCAGGACCAGGAGCGGAGGCCATCGCCGCACCGCTCGGCTGCACGGCCGCGCGCTGCGGCGCGACCTGGCGCGCGCAGGAGGCCGCGCAGGAGCGCAGAGGACGCGCGCGGAGGTGCGGTCAAGCGCGCAGGCGGCACGGGCCCGCAGACGCGCAGGCATGGGCTCAGGTTGGGCCTGTCCCCCTACAGGGGCACTGCGCACGAGGAATCCAAGATACCCCCCAAACTATTCAGGAATGGTTCCACGGTGCCCCAAAAATCGTCCCCGGACTACTTCTGGACTCTTTTTGAGCATTCCTCCTGTGGAGGGCCAGGCCCGACTTGAGCATAGGCGCGCAGAACGCGCAGCAGCGCGCCAGGCGCACGGGCGCGCGGCAGCGCACGCGGGCGTGCGCGGCAGCGCGCAGGGGCGCGCAGCCGCCGCCGGGCGGAGCGCCGCGAACTCCACCGGGCATGGGCCGCCCACGAAGCCTCACGCCAGCGGCTGGGGCAAGCACGGCAGAAGCGACACGCCGGGCCGTCCGCTGCTCCACGAGCGTGCGGAGGAAGCGGCACCAGCGGCGACGGCGCCCGTGGTCTGTCGCCTCACGGCAGTCGTCCCCCTCGAGGGCCCCTCGGTAGCAACGGAACCTCCCGCGGCAGCAAGATGACTACCTACCAGACCACCCCAACCCAACCCGAAGACCCGACTTTCGGGTTGGGGGGTTCGTTCAATGTGTGTTTTTGTTCGATGTTCCCGACACCCCCACCCCACCAGAAATGGAGGGCAAATTGAAGCCTTCGGGTTGTGTTGGAGTGGTCTGGTGGGTGGTGACAAGAAGAGCATCTCCAGGCCGCTCGAACTAAGCATCCCCCTTGTGCGGCAAGCCCTGAGCGCGCAGACACGGTGGCGCCACACGTGCAGGCAAGGCCGTGCTGGTGGAACACGAACGGCTCCATGCACGTACGGGTCGACGCACACCCAGTCGGAACCAGTCGCGGGCACGATTTGTGGCGCATAGGACGGAGGCTGACGCGACGGCGTCCACGGTGTCCGATGCAGCAGATCGAGACTGACCGAGGCGAGCACCATGCTGCACACGACGCAGCTGCTCGGGGGTGGCGGCCAGGACCAACACGCCGGGCGCCTGGGCATGCCGAGCCACGTTCCTCCTCGGCACCTCGAGAACCTGGACGCCGGTGCTGCTGAGCAACTGAATGAGGACAGGGGGCGAGGCGAGGATCCTGTCCACCACCACAGCATCGGGTCCCAGCAGCAGGCCCACGTGGCCAGTCAACGTCTGGCACTTGCAAGCGGACTCATCAAGCTGCTCTTCGGCTTGGCGATGAGCCCGTCGGCCGAGGCGCGCGCCCCAGCCGCCACGAAGAGAGTCTCCCGTAGTTATCCGACTCAAGCAGCAGCTACCGGTCCAGCCATGAGCGAAAACAAGTCGCCAACAGCGGCTTGAGATTAACCTGAACCAAAATCGCTACGAAGAGGAGGAGGGGGACGAGGAGGAGGAGGAGGAGGAGGAGGAGGAGGAGGAGGAGGAGGAGGAGGAGGAGGAGGAGGAGGAGGGGGAGAGGAGGAGGAGGAGGAGGACGAGGAGGAGGAGGAGGAGGAGGAGGGAGGAGGAGGAGGAGGAGGAGGAGGAGGAAGGAGGGAGGAGGAGGAGGAGGAGGAGGAGGAGGAGGGGGAGGAGGAGGAGGAGGAGGAGGAGGAGGAGGAGGAGGAGGAGGAGGAGGAGGAGGAGGAGAGGAGAGAAGGAGGAGGAGAGGAGCAGAGGAGGAGGAGGAATGAAGAGGAGGAGGGAGGAGAGGAGGAGGAGGAGGAGGAGGAGGAGGAGGAGGAGGAGGAGGGAGGAGGGGAGGAGGAGGAGGAGGAGGAGGAGGGGGAGGTCGAGGGGGAGGAGGAGGAGGAGGAGGAGGAGGAGGAGGAGGAGGAGGAGGAGGAGGAGGAGGAGGAGGAGGAGGAGGAGGAGGTAGGAGAGGAGGAAGGAGGAGGAGGAGGAGGAGGAGGAGGGGGAGGAGGAGGAGGATGAGGAGGAGGGAGGCGGAGGAGGAGGAGGAGGAGGAGCGATCCTCAACGCCCCTCTGCAACTGCACTGGAGGTCTCGATCCTTCTGTGCCGAGGGAGGTCGAGGGCCAGCCGAGTTCCGCCCAGTGGCGCCGTCAGTCCTGGTCCTCCGGGACTGGGTGCCGCTGCCTCCCGTCAGCGACGTTCTCGCCAAACTCCTGACACAGAGGATGAGAGGGCGGACGACGACGACGACGACGAACACGACGACGACGACGACGACGACGAGAACAACGACGGCTACCACGACGACAACGAAAACAACGACGACGACGACGACCACGAAAATGACGTCAAAGACAACCAGACGACAACCGAAACGACGACGACGACGACGACGACGACGACGACGACGACGACGACGACGACGACGACGGCGGCGGCGGCGGCGGCGGCGACGACGACGACGACGACGACGGCGGCCACGGCGGCGGCGACGACGACCACGAAAATGAAGTCAAAGACAACCGACCGAAACGACGACGACCATGACGACGACTACGACGACGACGACGACGGCGACGACGACGACGACAAAAACGACGAAAACGACGACGACGACCACCACCACCACCACGACGGCGGCGGCGGCGACGACGATGACAGCAGCGACCACGAAAACGACGAAAACGACGACGGACGGCTACGGCGGCGGCGTCGACGACGACAAAAATGACGTCAAAGACGACCAGACGACGACCGAAACACCGATGACTATTACGACAACGACGACGACGACGACGACGACGACGACGACGACGACGACGACGACGACGACGACGGCGGCGGCGGCAGCGGCGGCGGTGACGAAGACGCCGACGGAAACGAAAACGACGCCGGCGACGGAGACGACGACGACGACGAAAACGACGAAAACGACGCCGACGACGGAGGAGACGGCGACGACGACGACGACGACGACAACGACGACGACGACCACCACCACCACCACCACCACAAAAACGACGAAAATGACGACGGCTACGGCGGCGGCGTCGACGACAACAATGACGTCAAAGACAACCAGACAACCGAAACCACGACGACCATGACGACGACGATGACGACGACAACGACGACGACGATGAGAACGACGACGACAACGACGACGACGATGACGACGACGACGACGACGACGACGACGACGACGACGACGACGACGACGGAGGAGACGACGACGACGACGACGACGACGAAAACGACGACGATGATGACGACGACGACGAAGGCGATGACGACGAAAACTGCAATGACGACGACGACGACGACGACGACGCCCACGACGACGACGACGACCAAAATGACATCAAAGACAACCAGACGACGACCGAAACGACGACGACGACCATGACGACGACGATGACGACGACGACGACGTCGACGACGGCGACGGCGGCGGCAGCGGCGGCAGCGGCGGCGGCGGCGGTGACGACGACGACGAAGACGACGATGACGAGGATGACGCTGGCGACTGCGGCGACGATCCCAGGAGTGTCAACTCTCAACCCCTCCTGGGGGGGAGCAGTTTCTTCCTGGATCCACCTTTTCAAGGTCCCAGGGCCAGAAAACGGCCGCCTAAAGTTGAATGTTAGCCAGCGTGGACACCAATCAGCAGGCTATTGACCTTCGATGTACAGTGATGTCATGCATTATGTACACATGGCGCAGTCTTGATTACACAAGCGAGGCTGTGAAAGCTTTGTGATGCCAGCCGTGTGGTACCATCAATGTGGTGCAAGCTATGCGGTGCAAGCCGTGCGATGCAATGTAAAGGGGGTGCAAGCTATGCGCTGCAGGCTGCGTGATGCAGTGTGCGCATGGTGCACCGCGTGCAGCGCAGGGTGTGCGGCGTCGGCCGTGCGGCGCGGGCTGTGCGGTGCAGGGCGTGTGTGGAGCCATACGCCCAGTGCAGAGCGAGGCCCCTGCAGGCCCGGTCGTCGGGAGCGGCCACGAGGGGGGGGGGGGCCCAAGAGAGGGGGTGCAAGTTATGACCGGCGGCAGGTGCGCGGCCTGGCGGGGGGGCCAGGGACGTCGTGAAACGAGAGGAGGCGCCAGGAGATCTGAGGAACTACCATGGCCCCCGCCATGACATCCACCCCCCCCCCTGGCCATCGCCCCCCCCCTCTCTGCCACACCCGAAGTCCACGCACGGGGCGCCCGTGAGGCGCCGCCGGGCGGCCAACGGCTGGGCACTCAGGCGAGAACCCGACACGCCCGTCCACCCGAGCCCCGCAGCCGAAGCACAGCAATCTCCATCGATCGATCCTCGATCGGGCGAGGAGGACGACTGCGACGGCGACGACGACGACGACGACGACGACGACGACGACGACGACGACGACGACGACGACGACGATGGCGGCCACGGCGGCCCGGCGGGCAGGCGGCCAGGCGGCCAGGCGGCCAGGCGGCGGCGAGGCGGAGCTTGAGGAGGAGATGGATGGCCGAGAGGAAGGAGAGCTGCGGAAGGAGGAGGGGCGGGGGGAGGCTTCTAAGAGTTAGGGGACTCTGGGGGTGGAGGGGAAGAGAAACAGGAGAAGGGGGAGGGAGGCGAGAGGAAGAGGGAAGGAGTGGGAGCAGAAGCAGCAGGACGAGCAGGAGGGAGGGCCGGGAGGGGGGGGGGCCGAGGAGGAGCAGAATAATAATAACCAAACATAAAATATAGCACACGGTAGCAGTACCAATCATACTGGTAATTGAAAGAAGATACGGGGAGAAGGGAGAAGGAGGGAAAGGAGGAGCAGGAGGGGAAAAAGGACAGGGCGGACTAGGGGGAACAGGAGGGAGGAGCGAGGGAGGAGTACGACGACAAACAGGGGATGCAAAGGGCAGCGAGGCAGAGCAGAGTCGAATTACAGAAAGAGAACCGTCGAGGACGGACAAGGATAACGATACAAAAAGAGCAAGAGGAGGATGCAGGAGACGAGGAGGAGGAGCACGGAAAAAAGGGAAGGAGGGAGGGAAAGGGGGAGGGAGTAAGGAGGTTGGGGGGAGGAGGGAGGAGGGAACAGGAGGGGGAAGAGATTGAAGGAGGAAGGAAGGAAGAACGAGAGAGGACGATGACAACGACGACAACAGACAGCGACGGTGACGCCAGCGACGGCGACGGCACCGGCGAAGGCGACGGCGCCGGCGAGAGCGAGAGCGAGAGCGAGAGGGAGAACGGCGACGAGGAGCAAATGGACCAGGGAGAGGCCTGGGCGGCAAAGCGGGACTCCTGGGGAGTGATGCCGAACTTCGTCATGCCCATTGGGTCCTCGGGGAGGAGAGTAGAAGAGCAGCAGCATCATCCTCCCTCCACATGTTCCCTCCTCGTCCCCTTCATCCCACTCTTCCTCATCATAATCATCATCAGCATCATCATCACCAGCATCATCACCATAACCATCATCCTTATCATCAATAACCCTATTCCTGCTCCTCCTCCTCCTCCTCCTCCTCCTCCTCCTCCTCCTCCTCCTCCTCCTCCGCCTCCCCCAGCATTCGTCTGCGTACGATAAAGTATTAGTATCATTATTCGTACACTTACTACTATTACTATTTTGTATTACTAGCATTACGGTTCTTATTCATAGTAAGTATACTAATAACTTGAATTACTACTGTTATTATCACGATTCGCAAAAGTGAATCTAGTAGTAACAAGTATTAGCATGGTCATTACTACTATTAGGTAATATTCGAATGGTTGGTGGTAGTAGTAGTAGTAGTAGTAGTAGTAGTAGTAGTAGTAGTAGTAGTAGTAGTAGTAGTAGTAGTAGTAGTAGTAGTAGTAGTAGTAGTGGTAGTCTAGAGTCGTAGTGTATAGTAGTAGTAGTAGTAGTATAGTTAGTAGTAGTAGTAGTAGTAGTAGTTAGTAGTAGTAGTAGTAGTAGTCGTTAGTAGTAGTAGTAGTAGTAGTTAGTAGTAAAGTAGTAGTAAGTAGTGGTAGTCGTAGGTGCGTTCGTAGTAGTCCGAGTAGTAGAGTAGTAGTAGTAGTAGTAGTAGTAGTAGTGTAGTAGTAGACTAGTAGTAGTAGTAGAGTAGTAGTAGTAGTAGTAGTAGTAGTAGTAGTAGTAGTAGTTGTAGTCGTAGTACTACTACAACTACTACTACTACTACTAATACTACTACTACTACTACTACTACTACTACTACTACTCAACTTACTACTACTATATTACTACTACGACTACTACTACTACTACTACGACTACCACTACTACTACTACTACTACTACTACTACTACTACTACTACTACTACTACTACTACTACTACTACTACTACTACGGCAAGTCCGTGGCCGCGTCGCTTGAAACTTCCAGACGCCGTCGCAGCTCGTGCGGGGCCCCCTGCCCAGCATGCCCAACACCGGCGGGGGCGGCGCGGGGCGCCCAGTGCCCGGCGGGCCCACCAACGGCGCGAGAGACGAGAAAACTGCTGAATCGCTCCACTGCGCCATCGCCCCGGCGGCCCCCACCTCCCCGGCTCGGGCGACAAGCGCCCGGGCGCCAGCCCCACCTCTAGGGGCGACGTCGGAGCCACACCCACGAAAGGCCCCGCCAGGCGAGGCAGCGGCGGCAGCGGTTCCCCGACGGGCGCCCGCAGGGCGGACATCCATGTGCCCCCCCGCGCCGCCGCCTGGCCCACTCCTCGGCGCTCGCTCACGGAAGACTCCAGCCTCCTGACGCCCCGAAGCTCGTCGATCTCCACGACGCCGCCGACTTCCCCGCGCAAAGCGGCCAACGACTCGCCGTTGGCGGCGCGCGCATCGCTCGGGTCGTCGAAGCCCCCCGACAACTACAGCCTCTCCGCGACGTCGGGGGGGCGACCTCTAGTCGAACACCTCTTCAGGCACTCAATCCCCAGGGCCGTGGGTCCTCGCCGTTTCCCAGCGCCCGCTGCCGCGCTGATGGCTAGCTGACCCGACTCCGCCCTGGAATGGTCGACCCGCGGGACCGCGGCGCCCCCGGGTACCCGGCGGGCCCCTCGCCCTCGAACCCAGTCTTCGATCGGTCTGGGCGGGGTGGGTGGCCACCGCGCCCTCAGGCCTCGCTGGTCCCCTACTCGATCCCCCCGATGGTGGCGCGCCCCTCTCCTCAACCGTAGTCGCCGGCACCTGGCGCTCCGCTGCCATGCCACGAACTACCGCGCGCGGCACCTCCGGCCGCGGATGGGCCCCGGCGGCGCCGCGGCAAGGGCAGAGCAGCACGCCGCCACAAAGGACGCGCCCCAGGTAGACACACCCCACCCTGGCACACTTGATGGCCCGGCGCTACGTCTGGCACACGTGTAGAAGCCTCCTAGATGGCGTCGGAGTAGACGGCGTCGGAGGATCGCGCCGCATCGCCGATACATCGGCGATGCGTCGGCGACGCATCGATGATGCACCGGCGATGCATCGTCGCCGTCGGCGATGCGTCGGCGACGTCGACGCGAAGCAAATCGGGCCCCGCTTCCAGCCGCGTCGCCGATGCCATCAGCGATGCGGCGACCCCATCTACTCGGACCACATCCAGGAGGCCTAGAACGTTGATATGCTGCCAGCACAGGTTCGCCGCGCACGAGCCTCCGCGCACGTTCGACGTCTCGTCGTCTCCGCGCAAGAGCTGCACCGCATCGCCGCGAGCTCGATCCTGGCATTCCTCCTAGCTCAGCTGGAAGATCGCGTCGCCCCCCTGGTAAATAACTTCGCGGGCGACGCACTTGGCGCCCGCAGACTCGGACACCGACTCCGAGTTCGGGTGCCGCAGCAACTCCGCTGGCGCGTCTGGTTGGGCCCGCCGACCCCTGCATCTGGCACGGGCGCGCTGGCAGAACGCGCTTCACAACTTGGCGCAGCCTGTCAACCCAAGCGCGCCACACCCGCCGCAACATGCCCAGGCCCCAGCGCCCACCGCCCGCGCCGCCCAGCACGGGGAAGGTGGGGCGGCTACCAGGGCCTCCAGGTTGGCGCCCATCTCCTCACCCCACGTAGCCAGAGGCGGGGGCGTGCACCGCGCAGCTCCCGCCATCCGAGTACGGGCAGTCCAGACACGAGTGGATCTTCTTGTCCTGGGGCTCCTCCATTAGCGCCCGCAACCTCAGTCGGGGAGACGTAAGACTCGGGTACGGGGAACTCGGGTTGGCCTGACGGGGGCCATCATAAAAATGACGAGACCCAATCTGAAATTTGACGCGGGCTCCCGCTGCAGACATCCCACGAAAACGGGACCGTCAAAATCCAGGGAGCGGTCGTCAACCAAAAAAATCGGCAAACCCGAGTTCCGGCTTACTCGAGTCTTACGTTTCCCCCAGCGGAGCTGCGCGGAGAAGAGTACCGACGTCCCTGACCACACAGCTCCGTCACCACTCCCTCGGCGCCCGCCCCGTCCCCTGGCCCTGGTGACCATGGGACAGCACAATACCCGAGCATCCACGTCAACGGCGCCAGCTTCATCTTCGGTATTTTGCCAGTCAGGATGTCCTAAAAAAGGCGACGGCGTGCAATCCATGGCCCATGACGACCATCAGCATGACGACTGGCAACGCAAAGAGGGCCCAAGACACGACAGACCAGCACCCGCCGAACGCAACCCTCCCCACAGCTGCCACCGTTCCCCCGACCAAGCCTCCTCTTCCTGACCAAAAGCGCTGCCATACTGCGAGCTCGCAATCGCTGCACATGCCGCCAACCCAGGTGCCCACGAAGATGAGGTGAACATGCCAAAAGGTCCACCGGGTCGTGGGCCACTGCTCCCGGCAGCTTCCCTCCGACGCGTGAACCACCCTCCTTCCTGCGCCTCGTCCGCCCCAACCTCCTGCCACTCCTCGACTGGCGGGGACACCACCTCTGATCGGGGCGCCGCTCTCGCACCCGCGGCCCACCCCCCGTGGCTGCTGCTGGGCACCTCGCCCCTCGCCGCCATCTTGGGGACAAGCCGCCGCCCTGGGCAGGGGCGCTTCCTGGGCGGCCACGTCCACCTCCGCCAGCGACGACGACATGAGGCCCTGGCCTCTCTGGGGCCACTCGGCTGCATCGTCCCTGGCGCTCTCCGCGTGGGACAGCAGCTCGTCCTCCTCGCCGGTGTCCTGCACTCCGCGTACCAGCCCGCGCGCGACATCCGGGATCAAGCACATGTCCTCGCCCTCAGCGCCGGCTGCCTGCGGGAGCGCCGGCGCGGCGCCCCTGACCCAGCGACCGAGGCTCGTGGCCGCAGCCAGCCCGACGATCATGGGCACGTCCGCGGCAATCTGCGCAGCGCGGGGCCCTCTGAACCCACGCTGCGCTCCGACTCCGCGCCCGCGCGGCAGCACCGAGGTCACCTGCTGCCCTCGGGCCCGACGCCGCCCCGCCCAGATGCAGGGCCAGCGGCGCTGGCCCCGTACGATCGCGGCGCCCAGCTGCGAGACTCCCTGGGAGCCGCCCCCAGGGGCCCGCAGGGTGCCTGGGGCCAATCAGGCCCCATGGAGAGCTGGAGCCCAGATGGGCCGCGGAGGAAGAGCACGGGCACCTCCCAGCACGTCACAGCCAGTTCAATCATCGTGATCATCATCATCATCATCATCATCATCCTCCTCCTCCTCCTCCTCCTCCTCCTCCTCCTCCTCCTCCTCCTCCTCCTCCTCCTCCTCATCATCATCAGCAGCAGCAGCAGCAGCAGCATCAGCATCAGCATCAGCATCAGCATCATCATCAGCATCATCATCAGCAGCAGCAGCAACAGCATCAGCATCATCATCAGAATCGTCAGCAGCATCATCATCAGAATCGTCAGCAGCATCAGTACCGTCATCTGCAGCAGCAGCAGCATTAACATCATCATCATCATCATCATCATCATCATCATCATCATCATCATCATCACCGCCACCACCATCATCCTCATCATCATCAGCAGCAGCATCTGCATCATCATCAGCATCAGCGTCGTCATCACCAGTATCATCATCATCATCACCACCATCACCATCACCATAAGTAAGCATTAGCACCATCGTTAGATCATCATCCTCATGACCACCACCATCACCACCATCATCAGCGTCATCATCATAATCATCATCATCATCATCATCATCATCATCATCATCATCATCCTCAGCATCTTCATCATCAGCATCATCTAAGTCATCATCATCCTCATCAGCGTCAGCATGATCATCCTCCGCATCGTCATCATCACCATCATTTACAGCATCATGATCAGCATCGTCAGCATCATCATCATCATCAGCAGCATCATGTTTATCTTCAGTCTTATCGTCCTCAGCATCTTCAGCAGCAGCAGTATCATCAT